GTAGTCTGGTGTGCTCCTTTGAGTTGAATTCATCAATGCCATTTACACCGCGCTGTCGTTCTCACCCCCTTCACCCATGTGCTTGGAATGTTGATCAGAGTCTGCCATATTGTTACGCAGTCCTTCCCTAGGTCTTATCACAGTCTCTCTTTTGCCTCGTAAGATCCGTCTGGTATATCCATGGTTCACATATTTCACTCGACCCTTGCCACCCCATTTGTGCTACTCGAGGCTTTATTCGCCTCTCCTGCGTCTGAGTGACTAATTCGAAGCTATAGCTTCTGAGTAGGTCTCATCATCAGGCCTATGCTACATGGACCACGTTTATGGTAAAACCTACTGTCAGCCAACTAGATCCAGTCTCCGCCATGTCTGTCCTCTTTTTATCCCTAATACCAAATCTATGAGTTTCCACGCCCTAGTCTCTTGTGTGCCAACCCACAAATTTTCTGGTACTGCTTGCTTTGATTTGGCTCAATGTTACGACCACACAAAAGGCCACACCATCTTAGTCTTCATACCTTCGAAAATAAGTAATGTTGTCGATAGTCCTGGCAAATACATGTTTGTTTGATCGACAATCCTACCATACAGGATTGCATCCGTGGATGTGGTGGAGTAGTGAATTCGTTTTGAAACCCATGACCTGGTATTAGATCTCGTTGGGGGTGCTGGTGGGGTCCAAGTCAGCTCATATTCGCAGTCTAGCCTAATGAGTAAACCTGAGAGGCAAGGCTAAGTTAACTTCGTTGGCATCGTAGGGCCTGCTTACATCATTGTCGTGACGACCCAGCTCTCAAGTTGTCTCAAGCGACCTAAGATGATTAAGTTTATATTCATTTTTAGCCTTAATTTACTGCCTATTCATCTTTCTAACACCACATGTCTGCATCATCAGCTTTCACGCAGTACCAGGTGTGCCAACTGAGCATAGAATCAACATCATCCATCAACTCAAGGCTCCGGATTGCAATCTATGGTACATTCGGTTTGACCTCGACCTTGAGCACCAACTACTAGCTCTGGGCACTGGAACAGGAGCTTCCCGTATCTATCTCTGGGACCTTTCTCGGTCCGAGATGGCCTTTAGTCTTAGCCCCCAGATACTACCCATTTCATTTACTGGCTGCGGCACTGGTTTGGGACTTGCGGCCGGCACCTGCGCCGCAATTCGGCAGACACGGTTCGCTGACGATGGGCGCATCTTACTCTGTGTAGGCGATAGCG